ACGTTCTTTAAAAAATCACAAAAAACACTATGCCCTGATCAGCATGGTTCTGAAGTACACAGGAATACATAGGCCTATACTTTTCCTCATATTTTTCAGACTGCCACAAGACAACCTCCACTGCTTAGGTACCTGCAGTTTCGTCATCATCAGTTCTTTCCAGGGTCTTGGATAGCCATCAACTGGAAAGGAAAAACACTGCGGGGAAATATTCTCTTACAGCTGTCAGTATGCTCCAGTTATTACTGTCGTCGAGCACTCATTCTCAAGCTGAATGTTTTTTTAGCCTCCGGCAATATTTTAGGTCAAAAATGAAAACAACGGACCCAAATAATCTCCCTGGGTGCAAACTCGATCAAAGCTTGCTTAAAAAGTCCTTCACCATTCCTCTCTGGGACGGGATATGTAAAGCATATCTTCTCCCGCTTCAACTATTCAGTCTTCTCATTCCAATGAGGCAGAGGGGTCCAGCATCCCCCAAGACTTCAGGCATCCCAAGAGCTAACCTGGCAGTATCCTGTACAATGCAAGGCAAAGGTTAATGGGAGGAAGCAAGTTGAATCTAGACATCCAGGATATTGGCTCTTAAATGTTACAGATGCACCCCGACTGTTAAGAGACTTGCCAGTGCACAGGAACTGGGGGCTATACACCTGGATCTTTCCCCGGTAATAAAACTGGGGCATCGAGCGTGGTAAAATGTTAAAATTTCCACTGAACTTGTGTTGTTATCAGCTAGCCTTAGTTTTCTGGAGCTTACTTTGTCGTTTGCTTTATCTGTCAGGAGGTTGAATTCTGTCTTGCCCGGGCTCGTTATTGGAGGATGCGAATCAATTAGTGAACTAGTGTTGTACTTATCTGATGTTCCGTCTCTCATACTACGACTTGGATGTGTACTCTGGACAGGACGTGGGGTGTGCAATGTGTCTTTCAAGCCCAATAAAAAATATCAAGGCGGCAGCAAAACTTTAGTGTTTCATAATGAATGGCATCCTCTATATCATACATGAAATACGACAAGCCAAATATTTATGGGCCGAGAGTGAATCTGGTTCAACATCTATAGCTTCCTTTAACAGTCTGTCGATACTGGTGGTCTCCACCACTCCCACATAAATGCCACTCCAAGTATCATTCGCTATCTCAAATATTTCAGACATCCTCTTTAAGTTCGGGTAACCCATAGCTTGAAAGGTGTATGGATAAAACATACAGTTGACGAGAAAACCAACTAAATTTTACTAAAAGGAAGGTTTCGAGTGTTGTACTGGTTGAAGGTTCTGTTCATAAAAATCTGAGTCACTTCTGAGGGTTTTGCTCAGCTCTGAAATTTTGCAGGTACATGTAATACCATCAGCTCTGGCCACGATACATTTGAATATGAAGAGTTTATTTCCAAAATGTGATAAACGCAATTTTGGTACCTTTCAGAATCCTACCCTCTACAGCTAGTTTCTACAGCTTCAAGACAGCTTAACACAACTTTAAGGAGTCAAAATAGTGAAAAAGAAGTTTAGGGACACATGGTACGCTGCTCAAGCTCTTCAATCTTTTAAAATTATGGACAAACTGCATGTTTTTCAAATCGATATATCGCATTTTGGAAATAAACCCTTCATATATGTTCTGAGGACATGAACATGTTCTCCATAAAAAAAGACGTATACATTACATGCATAGTACCACTGAGCTATTTCTTGGGTTACTCTTTAAACTGCACAGAACCATAGCCTCAATATAAATATGTATTGTGAGTCTCCACAGGGGGCTGCTCATTCAACTTTCATAAAGAGAGCAGGCTGGCTATTCTGTGTTCTCCAATGTCCTGACAAACTTGAAGTGGTTGTGCTATTTGTTTAAACAAATGCACGTGATGACAATATCCATCGCTCGTCAGAATATCTCTCATCCGCATTCCTACCCAGGGGTTCCACATCATATGTGCCGCCAAGCGTAACTGTTCCACTAAGCAACAAATTTCACTGTACCATGACGTTGTGGGTCATGATTCCCGCAACAGGTGATCTTGTTCGAAGTACATGTACTGTACATGTATGGTGTAATACATCTCTTGGTATGTTTTATCTGGACACAGATTCCACTGGTGTTGATGGGTAAAACTGGGGACAATATATCAAGGTGAACAAATAGCACCTGTGCACTCTCATAAATATGTTTATTGACATAAAAGACACTGGGGCATAGTTTACATAATACCTGAACACCTACAGTGTATGTGTGTATTATGTGTATTGGGGTAGAATTTTCAACAGAGACCGCCTCCATGGCTTAAAATAGAACGATTACGATCTTCACTGAAAATTCCTATCCTGTCATACTGAAATGCTCTGCAATGATACGGACAAGTGCACTTAACACTTTGATTGCACAGGAAAAGTCCTTGGTAAACAGGTTGGTATCCTGCAGACATGCTGCCCTGTGAAGTTTGCAGACAAAAGCTGGCGACCATGTGGCCGAGAGAATGTCTCCAATAAGAGTATGCCAATATAAGGACTCTGAACTAAATGCAATTTGCACCAGTAAGTTCTGTCTCTTTTTTTCCTTGTTGGTGCAGAGTATGCTGTACCGTATTTCATAAATGGCCTCCCAACCGTATATACACGTACATGTACACATACATGTACGTGAACAGTATACATGTCAGACTATGACTTTAAGAAAAACAACCCAAAAAAAATTACAATCAAGGCCAGAGCTGTCTCACATCCTTTAAAGGAAACTAGAGGTTACCATAATTGATTGACAGATGAAACAATGAAGACGTCATCTCCCTCTGAACCAGTAAGGCCCAAATTATGCCACTGGGATATTACAGTTTCTTATCATCTCTTGTCCACCAGATTGGTTTTCAGCAAAGATAAAGGAACAGTAGCTGAAGGCTTTTTTAACTCCATCAATGTCACCACCCAAGGACCGCAGGGGATTCCTAGTCAAATTTGGGGATTTCAGTTCTTCTGGTGCAAGACAGTTAGTCACCTGCATTTCTCTTTTCTGTGTGACTCACTGGACGTGATGCTCCTGACAAGAAGTACATGCAGGGGTACAGTCATTGCAGTGGCTAGACAAACACTGGAGATGTGTTTACTCCTGGGGTATGATCAGGCACCCAAACAAAAGCCTGGCATTCCTGGGAGGAAGTTCCCTGTGAGTGGGTGACTTGTCTCACATCTAACACCCAATCAGACACATTTACAGGTACAGGGATGGTGTAAGGGATACACTTTGTAATAAACCTGAATTGCTGAGAGACATGTACATGAAATAACCTGTATACACCATGTACATGCATTCAGTACTTCATTACAGTACAGCTTAGCTGTACAAGCTGGACAATCAGAGGAAAAGGATCACTGTGCTTACATGCTATGGCAGCCCCCAGTAATGGTACAGGCATGGTGATGTGGGTAATTGTGCCTGGACAAAACAAATGCCCTCAATTTTAAATAGCACAATACTTCTGCCATTACTGAGGGGCACCGTTAAGTTCACAGAGGCTTGTGTTTCTTACTGATTTCATCAGCCCATCCCCCTTTCTTTTATCCTCGCCCTTCTCTTATTTTCCTTTCACCTGAATCAAAGTAGTCTGAAACGCAACTATTCCAGTCCATTAAAGTGATAACTTCACATCCTGTCAGGCCCAATCTCTGGCAGGTACATACATACAGCACAAACAGGCCCTTTGCCGGGCTCGGACAATTGAGCCCAACCCCACTTGCCTACCTATGACAGCACACCAATCAGTAATCACATTCAAGTTTCAAGGGAGTCCCCAACCAATCACTTCTGTTTGCCATCATCGTTGATCAAACCCCTGGATGTGGCAAAACTGGGGATCCATGGTTTAACCGTTCAAGTTCAGTCCATCATCGGCTGGACCCACAGTGTGTTGCCCATGGCTAGCAGGGTGGAACGGGGGCATTGTACCCACAGGTGATAATGGTAAGGTGAGCTCACAAGCCTTCATGATTAATGGTGGAGGGAAAGAATTCCCACCAAACTTACTGGAAAATTTTTTATAAATCTTAAATCTAATCACTTTCAAAGCCTGTGAAAGAGGATTTTAAATTGTTTGGGAATTTTTTTGATTTTGTTTTTAATAAAAAGGAAGAATCACTGCTGTCTGCCACCTGTTACCTTCAACTCCAACTTATAAATTGTTGTCAAATTAACATCCAGATATGTACAGCCAGATATCAAATAGACATAACATGTTAATTGAAACATTTTTCAGGAGGGATGTATGCAAATATAAATGAAGTGATTGCTGAATCATGAAAACATCTAATTCAAAAATTAAAAGAGATCTGCTGGGCACATAACATCCGCAACTCCAACCAAACCAATTATTCCATCAATTAATCATCATATAACCTTCAAAGTTGCCTGTATTCTGTCATGCCCTCTAGCATTTTGTGTCCTTTATGCTTCTAATATATAACTCTCCTCCTACTGTTCAAAGAGTAAGGAAACAACAATCAGCCTTTTGTGAACCAACAATAGGTTTAAAAATTTCTGTGGCGCCTTTGCCTGCCCACATAGTCACTTCCATGATGCGGAGACCAATATCGAACAAGTCTGATGTGGCTATTTCATATCTATCAATCTGTCCAGGTGTGGCCATCGCTTTCAACGAAGAGGAATTATAAAGCTCATCTATAGGCCTGCATGTATCACTGTGGGTGTGCACGTCACAATATGTATGTATCTACTATCAGACTTGATCAACTCACCAACCCTGTTTTCCTACACAGCACACCCTTAAGGCTGCATTGCTTGTTTGACAACATCAGTACCCTTTGAACATCTCAACTAACATCTACTGTGGATACATTTGTTTGCATGTATACCATGAAAGCTGGCATATACTGGCAGGACTTTTGCACAGCTACGAACTTTTAGAACATCCGTGCCTATCCAAGGAAATGGTGGATAGAGGAGACAACTGTTACAATATTCCAAGGAAAGAAAAACTAACTTACTTGGTAAGGGTCCCTTCGAAGACAGGTCATCATCTGCAAAGAACAGAGAAAATGCAGAATGATATTAACTGACATTTTACATTCACAAAAATGTAAATTGAATAATAGTAACTTTTAACAATGCACTCCGAAACATTCCTGTCTGATTTTCTGAGGTTGTTATCAATATGAATTTTCAATGGTAATTGACGACTTGGCAAAATATCACTTCAGCACGTAGCTCCAACAACAGCAGGGTTATGGTCACAAAGTTCTGAGATATTACAATCAAGAGATGAGTTAAAATAGATTTCTACTGTAACTACATTGTCAGTCCAAAGGACTTGGTACAAATACAGTTCAACATGTGGAAAAATCTAAAATATTAGCTGTTCATCTGTACTTGGGTGAAGCAACCCGAGAGCTGCTATATTAATTAAATTAGAAGTACAGTGGATTTGTGGATAGTGGATTTTCTCACTTGTTTGATGACAAATGTTGCAAAGGCTTTGTACTTATAGATGACAGTATGTACACGTAATTCTGATGACAAATTCTTCGTTACACAGCCCCTTTAATTTTAAACTTGCATCCTGTACAGATGAAATAGGTGATACAAATCTGTCATATCTGCAGATTAGTGGAGTCACAGAGTGGAGTTAACACAATACACACAAGGCATGTCATAATTGAATGGGGCGTCTGTCACCATTATCATTTAATTGGGTGTCTGTAACATCAGACACACCCCCTGGGGCTGGAACACCCCAGAGATGAAGTTACCATGAAGGGCATTCAAACCTGGCATTAAGGTCAAGCCTCTAGTCATTCAGATCATTGAGGGGAGAGTCCTTGGATTGTGATGGAAATTCTATTGAAATCGATGTTAATGCTGATAATTGAGGAATCTAAGAATCCGCAGCAAAGGCCTCTGAGATGGGCTCTTTCAGGGATAGCAGTCCACCAAGGTTTTATCAACACCTCCCCCCCCCAAAAAAAATCTGCAGCTACAGTACAAACAGAACAGCACAACATGACAAGTTTTACAGATTGGCATGGCAACTGAAATAAGTACCATACGTGTCATACATGGTTCGTTGGGAGAGTAGTTGATTAAAAATAAATAAATAAACCAACCCCAAAACCCAAAATATATAACAATAAATACATCTAGATGATGGGGGAGGGAGGGAGAGGAGGGCTGAGAGAGTGAGAGAAGGACTGTGTTGATTTGAACTTCCAAAAAATGCACACTGATCGCAGAGGCACCCCAAAGAATGCTCCAGGGTAATTTGAGTAAATGTGATCCATTAATTTGCTAAAGAGGTCAAAACTGAAGGCCAACAATGACAGTGATCTATATAGGCTTACACCCTATCACAGCACTATGATCTTATACAAATCATTATTTGTATACTTCCTCACACTGGTACAGAGTCAAATTCAAGCATCAGTATGCTGACGGTTGCCAACCACAAGGTTTAACAAACCTCTGTACCTGCTGAGTGTTACACCGACTAGTGCTGTAATCACTGCATGGTATCCCAATGGCATAGGCAGCAGAGGTGATTAAGTGCTGTGAAATTCACACTTCCACCCACTGTATGAAAGAGAGTTTACTGTGAGCCACTCTTGACCAAGTTCTCCATAGACACAGGTATAACACTGGCCAACAGGCCAAGAACACTGGGGGGAATAGAAGCTCCTCTAGTTTACAAGATAGAGAACAAGAAAAGTTTCCAGGAGGTGATACAGAGGGAGGGATTTGACAGGGGGATTAACAAATCGACCCCCTCGGAGGAGGGCTTTACTGGATAATTATCTACCTTATGATCAGATTCCCTGCACTGGGGCCTTAGGGGCTGGCTGTCTGCAGAGGGTGGGATTTAGCAGTTGACCGGTGAGCATCATCAGCAAGAAATTACTCATATTGGATTGCTTTAAAGTGACACTCACTTTCAATGCTTTGGTCAAGACCAGACACAAGGCCAGTCCCACCCCGCCCACCATTGAGCAAGTCACAACTCACAAGATCAGTCACAAGTGAAGGATGACAAAGGAATGCTTTGGAGTTCAGTTAAACAGCTTGTGTGAAGTTGTGACTTGGCTTGGATTCATAACTGGAAGTCTTGTGTTGGCGTGTGAACTACAACACTGCTCTGTTTATAGGTGTCTCCCTGCAAGTTAACACCTCTAATTAGATTATCGGTTTTTAAAGATCTCAAAGCAAAATAGGCAGATCTCCAATGAAGGGTTTTCTCTTCAATTTACATTCAGGACATTTTAAGAAATCTTGTACCAGTCCCCCTTAATGAAAACTACCGCAATACCTTTGCACCACCTATTAACCCTTTCTGTTGGACTCAGCTTTACTTGAAACATCTGTCTGAAAAAAAAAGTATTACGGGATTCCATCCAACTCCAGATTTTGTTAAAGCCTTGGTATGGTTTCGCTGAATGTCTCATCAGCACCTGTCAGCTTCAGAGAAAACACACAACCCACAATGAGCGTGACTGCACTTATGGCATCACTGTGGTCTACTCCAACTGGGTATGGTTTTGTCATTCTGTCACAGTGATGTTCCCAGGCCTCACAAGTGATGTCTTGGAGATCCTACAATGACCTGTTTTTTGCACTTTCCCTGATCCCCAGTGAATTGTCAACTCGTAAGGTGTAAATGGATGGGACAAATGTAATATTTGGGGGAAACTTGCAAAGAACAATGTGAGCTTGATTGTCTGCAAGGCTATAATGTTATGTCTTTGTAACATTAACAGAGAATTCTGGTTTTTTTACATTTGAAGCAAGATATGGGACGGAGAGAACCCCCCTCCTTTGTGTTGGTCATTGTT